CTGCTTTTTAAATCTTTTTTATTATAATAAACCAGAGTTCACTTTATCTTATTTTGTTACTTTACTTAGAGTTATAGTTTTACAATATATTCCTCATTGTTCTGTGAAGAAAAATGTCTTTTAAAAGATTGTAGATTCACAGGAGGAGAAGAATCTGCACGGCAAATCAGTCCATTCACCTGTCTGCAGGTTGAACTGTATTGAATCTAAATAAATAACAGTAAGCTCTTTTCAATCAGTCAGTTCTCTGCTCCAGTGAAGACACTCTGAAACAAATTCTGGAGAAACAAAGAATAAAGGAAGTTTTATCCTCAAGAAATTGTATTTATTTATGAAAATATAATTAGCAAATCAGGTCTATATATACTCCTGATATGAGAAATATTGGCATGGAATTAAGGTAATAGACTTAAGGTAAAAGACCTCTTAGTGATGTGATTAAACTGTTGCACATTATTCTTCGAAATTGACCACCTGCTTCTATAGCAATAGAATTTATGTCTTGACATAGAGCCACTAGCTAAAGATATTTTTCCAGGCTTTTTTTAAATTAGGGAGCCCTGAGACTAAATTCAAAGCAATGGAAGTGGTATGTGGAATGTCTGGATTAAGCTTTAAAGCAGAGGAGTATGAAAGATTTTTCCTTTTTTGTTCCTCCCAACGTATTTCCAGAAATGACCCTGTGATTGTGAGACCCACAGTAGCTATCTCAGAACACAAGAGGGTGGCAAAGGAAAACATCTAAGTAGCCTGGGTCTCAGATAACATACCAGCCCCGGGCCTATCCAAATGTTTCTATGAAAGAGAAATAAACTTTTATATGGTTTAAGCCATTGTTATTTTGGGACTTTGTTGCAACAACAAACATACCCTAAGCCAAACAGAGCTGCCATTATTCTACGCTCATGTTGACCAACATCTTGCCTTCTTACTATGGATGACATAATACATTTGATGGTGCCCATTGTTCAAGTCATCATGCGTTGCCTTACATTACTTGCAACTGAAAATAGCTGAACCAGTAGATACTGAATTTATGAACACAGGTTGTGTTCAGATGGTAAAGTGTATCAATTATTACATTAGGGGTTTTCTTGGAAAATGTAGCATCGTTTATTCAACAAACATATACTTATTGAGTACCTACTTTGTAAACTGTGCCATTCGAATAAGCAGTCTTTTGAAGAAGTTTAATTGCAGGGAACAATATTTCTGGGAGATTGTGTGATGATATATAGTCCTTCCACTGCTCAAGAGATTCTGAACTTTATCAATAAGCAAAATAAAGCCAGATCATCAGACGAATGCATGGTGGACCTGTGGTCCCTAAGAGAATGGTTTTAACTAAGTTTGGGATTTAGTACATTTTTTATTGGCGATGAAGAGACATTGAAAGTCTTCAAAAATAAAATTACTTGGTTAACATGTACTTTAAGATATTAAGGTAGAAATAATATGCAGGATAGACTGGAAAGGGGAAAACTAAAGTCAAGATCAACTAAGTAACTGTTTTAAATGCTCCAAGTAGAAAATCCTCTGGAGTAGAATGATACTGCAAAAAGACAAAAGGATTAAAGGGGTTACA